TGGTAGAAGGGAGAAGCACACAAAGTGGGGTGCTTTAAGAGCTCAAGATGCCTTCCCCAGGGGACCATTATAAAGACTGCAAAATTAAAAAAAAAAAAATATATATATATATATACACACACACACATACAGTAGAACCCCTTCCTAGTAAAATTTGAAACCTCAAAATATAGAGCAGATAAAAGAAGTATTAAATGAATTTTATAAGCTCAAATTTAAATATTTCCTTAGGTCAAACAATGAGTACAATGATGCTCTTCTGAAAAACACAAACTTGAAATGGGGAATATGGAGGAATATCTCAGGAAAACCTTAAATACACAAATGTAGTAAGATAAGTTTTATACCTCGGTCAGCCCCAAAGAGAATAAACATGGCAGTACGAGTGTACTGGTGATCTCTGGTGTGTCCAATTTGGAACATGACATATTCAAGTGTGTTTTTCTTTTAATCTATCACAATCACTTTGAAAGCTGGATTAAAAAAAATTTTGAATCTGTTATGTAATCTGGGAGGCAATAAAGAACACAATTTGAAAACCACCTGGGAAGATGTACATATGATGAAAACCTGTGAGATTTATTGAGAAGCTACTGTGTGATTCAATGGCTTAGGCCAGTGGTGGGCAAACTCATTAGTCAACAGAGCCAAATGTCAATAGAACAATGATTGAAATTTCTTTTGAGAGCTAAATATTTTAAACTTCAACTTTTTCTAACGCCACTTCTTCAAAATAGACTTGCCCAGGTCGTGGTATTTTGTGGAAGAGCCACACTCAAAGGTGGCTCGTGCACCAGTTTGGCGACCAGGGGCTTAGGCTAAGCTTCATTCTCAGATACATGGTGTTCCCCTATGACTTTTCTTTTTTCTTTTTTAAGTAAGTTTTTTAAATAAAAGATTTTAGAGAGAGAGGGAAGGAGAGGAAGAAAGGAAGAGAAAGAGGGGAGGAAGAAAGGAGGGAGAGTGAGAAACATCAATGTGAGAGAGCACTGCAAGCAACACACCCTGACCGAGGACTGAACCCGCAACCTGGGCATATGCCCTGACTGGGAATGGAATTGTGATCTTTGGGTGCATGGGAAGATGCTCAACCAATTGAACCACGCTGGCCAGGGCTCCTTAATCTCCCATCTTCTCCCATAGTTCCCACCCAAAACTGCTGTGCCCCCAAAAAACAATAGCTCTTAATCTCAGCTTCTCCCACTTTGAGGAATGTCACCCTTCTCACTTTGCCCCAAAGCCCCTTTACAGCCATTAGAATAACATGATACTGTTGAACACAAGTCTATGTTTCTTTTTCTTTTTTTTAAAATATATTTTATTGATTTTGTACAGAGAGGAAGGGAGAGATAGAAACATCGATGAGAGAGAGTCATCGATCAGCTGCCTCCTGCACACCCCCCACTGGGGATATGCCCGCAACCAAGGTACATGCCCTTGACCGGAATCGAACCTGGGACCCTTCAGCCCCCAAGCCGATGCTCTATCCACTGAGCCAAACCTGTCTTGGCACAAGTCTATGTTTCAACTCACTTTCCATTGGCTTGCATAACTAGCAATGTTGGTCTTGTGTTGACTACCATACCTTAATTAGTATCATCATTATTAAAATCAGTAATATAAATTCTGGAATGGGAAAATATCGCTATAAAGGACAACTATGACATTTTAGCATATAGAATATGGATTAGATAAAGCATATTTCAATATTAAATTTCAGGATTTTGATAACTACGGTGATTATGTAAAAGAATGTCTTTGTTCTTATAAGTACTGAACTATGCAAGCAAAGAGTGATTTCTTTAATTCTCAAGTGATTCAGCAAAAATAAACATACACACACTCAGAATGTTACCCAAAACAATTGGTGAATCTAGAAAAAGGATATAATGGGTTTCCATGTACTGTTTTCCATAGTTTAAAATTATACAATACAATAAAAAAATTATAACTAGGCTGCTAACATTTATAGATATTTGCTTTCTATTGGATTAAATAAATTACATCATTTGATTCTTTAAAAATTAGACACTATTTTTGGTGCTATTTTACAGCTATAAATAGAGATTATTGAAACTTTTCCCAAGGTCACATAGCTGAGGGGAGACAAGATTTTACCCTAAGTCTATTCCATTCAGAGTCAAAGCTCTTAAATATTGCCTTTATAGTATAATCTTTTCCTCTCAACCGTATCACAGAAGCTAGAAGCTACTATTTGGTTCCAAGCATTGTTATTCATTAAAACATCATATTACTTAATCTTTTCCAGATCTCAGGGCATGTGAGAATCAAAGTTTCATCAAAGCCATCAGCACCAAAAGCAAGACCCGAGAAATTATCCTATAACATTAATTTTTCTTAAACAAACACTCAAACCTTAAAATGCAGTCCAAATTTTTAACAATAAAAAGGTTTTCAACTATAATTACTATATATGAAAATCACGCTAATGAGTTATCTTCTCTAGAGAGACTGAAAGCTCAACACCAGGGAATTAATCTACAAGAACCTACTGCACTCTAGCCAGGATAGCAATGTCACCATGACCTGCAATGGGAATAGTCTGACTGTATACAGAACAGGTTGCTAGAACGGCCCTTAGAAAAAAAAGATTCTACTTATACCAATACAGGGGAAATGTATACTCTCTTGAAATATACACTAGCTATTGACAGTCTCCTGGGGAACCCTTTATGTTCTCATCTGCCCTCAGATGGATGTAGGACCATGATGTAGTAGCCATGATTAAATGCAAAGTTAGGTCCTTTTCCAGTCAGGACAATTATATAGGCAGGATCCTAACACCCACTACAGAAAACTATAAAGGACCCAATTAAAAAATATATATATTTTTAAATTGATTTTGAGCTGAAACCGGTTTGGCTCAGTGGATAGAGCGTCGGCCTGCGGACTGAAAGGTCCCAGGTTCGATTCTGGTCAAGGGCATGTACCTTGTTTGTGGGCACATCCCCAGTAGGGGGTGTGCAAGAGGCAGGTGATCGATGCTTCTCTCTCATCGATGTTTCTAACTCTCTATCCCTCTCCCTTCTCTGTAAAAAATCAAAATATTTTTTTAAAAATTGACTTTGAGAGAGAGAGAGGAAGGGAGAAGGATTGAGTGATAGAAACACAGATAAGAGAGAAACATCACTGATGAACTGCCTTCTGCATGCCCCCTATTGGGGGATTGAGTCCATACCCCTGAGCAAATCGAACCATCAACCTTTTGGTTCATGGGTCAATGCTCAACCACTGAGCCACAATGGTTGGGCTAAAGGACCCATTTTAAAGTCTACAATCAGCAAATAAAAACAAGTAAAAGAGAAAAAATAATTTAGCTATATAAACTAATATCTTATATAATAAAAGCCTAATGTGTTAATTGTCTGGTCATCTGGTTGGCCGTTCAATCAAAGCATAATAAGCTAATGATATGCTAAAGCCACTCAACCACCTGCTATGATATACACTGACCTCCAGGGGGCAGACACTCCAATAGGTTAGCTTACTGCTGGGGTCCATCCTATCGGGACTGAGTGAGATGGGCCAGACATGCCTGCTCCAGTTGTGCAAGGGTGGGGTCCCTTAGCCTGGCATGTGCCCCTCGAGGGTTGTTAGAGAGCTGGTTTCAGCCTGATCCCAAAGGCTAGGCCGAGGGACCCCACTGGTGCACGAATTCGTGCACCAGGCATCTAGAAGCTATATAAAGTCCTAATTCTGGTCAATAGTAAAGCATTAATGTCAGGCTATTACTTCTGAATTTCCAAATACTCAAACATGTGTTTTCTACTTGAGGTAAAGTTAAAGTGACAAGTATATGAATTCTTGTAATTATGATAAATATTATGGAATACAGACATAAACAGAATATAATTTTTAACTTATTTCATTTTATTTATTAGAACTTCTATGCTTAGTTTATAATACAGTCCATAAAATCACTTTTACGAGTGAGCAAAAACTATAGAAATTATATAGTTACTCCATCATATTGTTCACTGTGTTTTTTTCATACTGTTCACTTGTATTGAGCTTGAAATTAACTATAAATAAAAACAATCCTCCTATACTTATTCATTCAAATATCTATCCATTCTGGTATTATTTTAAACTCATGTTATACAACTAATGTTTTCTTTCCTGCCATTCATCTCTGTTCATGATTTTTTGATTTGGGCTTTTGATTCAGCTTGTTGAAATAATTATGAATCTTTAACCTGAGTATGTTGACCCTACTTTCAATACTTATATCTTCTTTGTCCAGTGGGCCAGAGGCAGCTGTGTTCAGAATCCTGGCTAAGACTAAACTTCCCGTAAGTAAATATTATTTAGTTAATAACAACAACAATACTGGTAATAATAGTTATTACATATAAATACTTAGAACATACTAAACATTTAAGTTCCAGGCATTGTTCTCAGTACTTTATAAGCAATATACCATTGACCCCTCACAATAACCTTATAAGGTAAATATTATTATTAATTGTTGTTGTTACATATGTTTTCTAAATGAAACAAGTGTAGCACTGAAAAGTTAATTTTCTAGGTTGCCCATATTCTTAACCATTAGGACATATTATTACCTCTCAATTTGGACAAACATAACAAATAATAAAATGAAACTTCATTCCAATAGTTTGAAATAAGTTTATAGACTTTTATATTAAAAGTTAATTCAATAGCCCTGGTTGGGTAACTTGGTTGGTTGAAGCGTCATCCTGTATACCAAATGTGAGTTTGATTCCTAATTGGGGTATATACGGAAGGCAGTATTTCTCTCTCAGGTCAATGTCTCTCTCTTCACGTCCTTCTCAAATCAGTAAAAAACATATCCTCAAGTGAGAATTAAAAAAAAAAAAAGCTAATTCAATAAATGTAAACTTCCTTTATTTTTTTAAAGAATAAAGTTGTACTATACTTGATGCCTAAGACTCAACTCCTTAATGAATGAAACCTTTAGGCAGGTGGCTAGAACCAAGTGGGACTGGTGCAGGTACCTGGATGCGCTGAGGTGAGGCTACTGCAGAGTCCGTGGAGATTATCTGGATGCGTGGGGAGGGGCTGGTCATCCCTGGAGATTCTGGCCGAGAAGTCTGTGTACGTGGTACCTGTGGGCAAAAAGTGGGTTGGAACATAAAGAGGCTCAGAAAGATGCCTAGTAGTGGCCTAAGAACCATGCCTTTTACTTTCCCAGTAGCCTTGAGTGATTAACTAATGTAGTTCTAGAATGGACCCAGGATGATAAAGGAATCATACTGGCACAAGATGGTACAAAGAAAATACAATCGTAAAATAGCTGATTTAATGTTGTACATGCAAGGGGTGGGGGAAGAATTTTCAAGTTTTCTCTGCAGAATTTAACACAATAAAAAGCTACCAAAATAATTTTTTAAAGATGATCTTTGAATTTTTTCACTGTCTCCAAAGCTACCTATAAAACACTCATTCAGGTAAGTTTCCAGAAGGAATGATCTAATAACATTGTAGAAGATGGCAAACAGAACTGCATAACACTGAAAACTATTGCGATTAGTACCCATGAGAAAGAGTCCTGGCAATCTCCCAGCCCCATGTCTAGGCATATACTCAAGAGAAAGGCAAACATATGTCCACACAAAAACCTATAAAAAATGTTCACATACTATTATTTATAATAGCTCAAAAGTATAAACAAATCCAATGTCCATCAACTGATGAATAAGAAAAATGTACCATATATCCATGCAATAAAAAGGAAAGTAGTACTGATACATTTGACGGCATTGATTACATCAGTCACAAAAGACCATATATTCACCCTGGCCATTTTGGCTCAGTGAACAGAGCATTGGCCTATGGACCAAATGGTCCCAGGTTTGATCTTGGTCAAGGGCATGAATCTTGGTTGCAGGCTCCTCTCCAGCCCAGGCCCTGGTCTGGGAACGTGCAGGAGGGCAACCAATCTATGTGTTTTTTTCACATCAATATTTCTCTCTTTCTTTCCCTCTCTCCCCTTTCTACACTCCCTAAAAATCAATGGAAAAATATCCTTAGGTGAGAATTAACAACAAAAATAAGTAAATACCAGTAAATAAAACATTAAAAAAAGACCATATATTCTATGATTTCATTTATATAAAACTTTCAGAACAGGCAAACCAATCAGAATAGAAAGTAAGTTAGTGGTTGCCAATGGCTGAGGGAATGGAAAGAAAGGGGATTAACTGCTAATAGGTATAAAGTTTCTTCTGGGATGATGAAAATTTTTGAGAATCAGATAGTGGTGATAGTTGTCAACCTTATAATTATACTAAACTGTATAATTTAAAAGGATGAATTTTATGATAAGTGAATATATCTTAATTTTATAAAGGATATCATGATTAATTATTGGAATAGTTATAAAAAGATATTTTCTTTACTAAGCATTAATTTTATCAACAAAAATTCACTATAATAAAGAACAGAATCAACATTCTCACAGGGACTTTTTACTTTACAAAATGCTTCATATAAATTCTCTCCTGGTTAAGAGATAAGCAGATAGACAAACTATTTTAGAAAAGATGTGATAAGGTTCAAATCTTAGAGAATACATTTTTCAGAATCCATGTACATGAAATTGGTAGCTGTTTATTATTTATAATTAAGAAAAAGTAACTAGCCATCACTTTATCAGCGTACACTTATTAAATCCTTCTTTAATAATGAACATTTAGAATTGTGGTCGAGTCTTTTATTACTCTGCAAATTAAGTGTTCCTTCTTTTGTACAGTCTCATAGCATTCCATTGTGCAAATGTACCACGACTTTTTTGTCCACTTATCTACTGATGGGCATTTGAAGTGTTTTCAGATCTTAGCTACTGTAAATTATGCTATGAATATAGGGTTGCATACATTCTTTCTGATTGGTGTTTTGGATTTCTTAGGATATCCTATCTAATAAAAGAGTAATATGCAAATTAACCATCACTCCGCTATACCCACAGGCTGTGCCCACCAGCCAATCAGAAGCAAATATGCAAATAAACCCAACCAAGATGGCTATGGCCACAAAGATCAGGAGGGAGGCTTGGGTTTCTCTGGTCACACACACAGGTCGGTCCAGGCCTCCACTTAAGGCTATAAAGTTTCAATTATAGAAGATACATAAATTCCAACAGAAATGACTGCTGCCATGGAGCAAGTAGAAGGCTTGGCTCTGTTCCAGGCTACAAAGTTTCAATTATAGAAGATAAATAAACCTCAGATACCAGGGCCTCCGCTTGGGTCGCTGGGTGTGTGTGGCCGGCCTGCAAACCACCACAGGCCCCTCGCCCAGGCCACCCCACGCCCCAAGGTAACCCCCACCCTGATCCGGGGCACCCTTAAGGGAAAACCAGCTGACCCCCACCCCCACTCATGCACCAGGCCTCTATTCTATCTAATAAAAGAGTAATATGCATATTGATCATCACTCCAACACACAAGATGACCACCACAAGATGGCCAGCAGGAGAGGGCAGTTGGGAGGAACCATGCCTGGAAGGGAGGGAAGTTGGGGTCAATCAAGACTGCAGGGGAGGGCAGTTAGGGGTGACCAGACCAGCAGAGGAGGCTGGCAGACAGAAGCAGTTAGAGGCAATCAGGAAGGCAGGTAGGCAAGCAATAGGGAGCCAGCAGTCTTGGATTGTGAAAGGGATGTCCGACTGCCCGTTTACGCCCAATCCTTCCTGGATCAGGACTAAATGGGCAGTTGTACATCCCTGGAGGAGTCCCAGATTGGAGAGGGTGCAGGTTGGGCTGAGGGACACACACTCCTATGCATGAATTTCATGCACCAGGCCTCTAGTATTATCATAAAAAGAAATGAAGTGCTGATTAATGCTATATCATCAATAAATCTTGAAACATTATGCTGAGTGAAAGCAAACTAGACACAAAAGGCCACATATTGTATGATTCCATTTATATAAAATGTCCAGATATGCTAGGCAATAAAAAAGTCAGAAAGTAAATTAGTGGTTGCCTATTGTTAAGTGGATAGGGTATTGTAGAGTGGGGGATAGGCTACCTGAGAGGTATAAGGTATCTTTGGTATAATAAAAATGTTTTAGAGTTAGATAGTGGTGATGGTACACAACCTTATAAATATATTAAAAGCCACATAATTGCATAATTAAAAAAATATTTATTAATTTTTTACAGAGAGGAAGGGAGAGGGAGAGAGAGTTAGAAACATTGATGAGAGAGAAACATCGATCAGCCGCCTCCTGCACACCCCCTGCTGGGGATGTGCCCGCAACCAAAGTATATGCCCTTGACCGGAATCGAACCTGGGACCTTTCAGTCCGCAGGCCGATGCTCTATCCACTGAGCCAAACCGGTTTTGGCTTGTTCATTTCTTGAGGTAAAGTAGGGTGGGGATGGAAGGCTAAAAGGAAAAAAGTGTGGGTTGGGCACTTAAGATTGCTATTTGCCAGCTTTGCAATTCTGCCTGAGCTATAGTTTATAATCTCTGGGATTCTGGCTCCCTCGCCTGTTAAGGAATACACTTGCAAATTTTATTATTCCTTTTATAAGAGAAGCCCAAAACCCTCAACAAATTTGCCCTCAATAAATGTAGCTGGATGAACAGTATTAAATATTCATGGGATTCAACAAAGGGATGCTTAATTCTGGAATTGACAAGTAAAGAGAAAATACTTAAGAGAGGTGTGGTGTGTTTTACTTGCACTAGGGGCAGTTTGAAGGCAAAGTGATGCTATGATGGAAATTCAAAAATTCTTGTAGCTGTGTAGATTAGAGCCTAATACTATGAACAGATATCAAGGTAGGAAATGGGCACATACTAAATTGAAGGTTGGATCCCTGGTCAAGGCGCATAATGGAGGCATCCGATTGATGTTTCTCTCTCACATCAAGGTTTCTTTCTCTCCTTCTCTCCTCCCCACTTCTTTCTCTAAATATCCTTAGGCAAGATTTAAAAATGAGTAAATAAATACAAATAACAAATAAAAGAAATCTACATAACATATAAAAAATATTAGTTGAATTTCTGACTACTGAAGTGGTTGCTTTCCATTTTTTCCTGTCTACCTTTTCAGTACCTAATGACAGTCTTAGCCTACTTTCTCTTCCTTCAACCTCAAGTTGCAAAGAACAGGAAAGGCTCTTTTAATTCACACTGAAGTATAAATGCCCACTCAGGTGTGTGCTATATGTTGGCCAGAGTACTTGCACTATGACCAGAAAACTGCTGATCCAAAGGACTACTAACTGCTAGTCCAAAGGACTCAAACTATGAGCCAGCTTGGTAAAAGTATATTTAGCCACAGGTCTTCAAGGCCTGGTCTGTGTGACTCAAGCTTAAAGGGTAAAAATAAGCTGTGCCACTTCACATTCTTTCTAACGTTAACCATGCTTGCTTCAATACACAAATGTTTGTCTAAGACAGTTTAATAAAACCCTCCCTCAAGTTGGCATACATGTCTCACTCTGAGCTCCCAGAGCTCCTGCATCATCTCTCTCTCCCAGGGCACTTACTGTAACTGCCTGTTGAAGCCTACCTCGGGGGGCATGAGGGTACATTTACTATTTCTCCTTTTACTCCCAAAGCCAGGCTCATATTAGGCCCACAATAACTGCTCAGTGAGTGAACATTTTAAAACTTCGGGAATAAATAAGTCTTTTTTACAGTATTCAATCCTGGGACTCTGCCTACCCCTTTCTTTGTTTCACTCAACTCTTGTGCATGTCTGCTAATTAGATATTATATCGGTACCGTGCAACCTTGCCTTGTAAGTTTATTATATAAACCATGGGTCACCAACCTTTCGGTCCTCGGTCCGCAGACCACTGGTTGGTGACCGTTGATTATAAATCAAGGAATACTGGCTTCCATGGACATGCCTGGGATTATGAGGTTGATGGGAAAATTCATACATTTTAACATGGAGTGAGAACTTTCTCTATTCATCATAATATAACACTGCCTTGGTAGCATTGTTAAAGGAAATAATCCTCAAAAATTTTTCTGTAGTTTATACACAGTCATTTGCAAAAAGATGAAGAGAATGTCCACAGGCAGCACTGGGCTAATGAGCAAATATTTAAAAAAAGTTTCTAAACTGTAATTTATTTTGGAT